TCTTCCGGAAGATTTCTCCTGTGGTGCAGCTCCGTTAGCAAGTAGGGCAGCGTCACTGTTTGTGCTTCCCTGGCGTAGGAGCATTTTCAGGGAAGGCGCTTGCTTGAGCAGCCCCGCGCTCACAGCTCTGAGACAGGAGAGCTCACTCCACTGACGCATGTTGTTTCAGGGGCTTGTTCAAGGGCTTTTAATCCCTCCACTGATGCCACTTATAGTTTTAATCAGCTCGAACGTTCATTCGGCATCAGCAGGATATGAACCAGCAGGCCGTGGAGTCCTCATCCAGCACCTAAGGAAGATGACACTAATGCGTGGGTCACGGCAGAGATGGGAGGTGGCAATGTGGTCTGCGTGGTATCAGAGGACTCAGCGCAGGGGAGGGAGAGATAACCCAGCACCTTCTCGTGTAAATCACATTATCTACCCCTGCGTGGGAACACAGGGTACAAGGGAAGGGGGCTGAGAGCCTGCATTATGTCCCAAGTCCTTCGTCATGCTCTGTACGTATATTTGTAACGCACTCCTTGGGAGCTTCCTTAAATCCAACCGCAGCAGCCTCCCCCAGGAGGGAGAACGGCAGTGATGGTGAGCAAACGCAAACACTAACACATCTGGCCAGAGGTGATGTGATCCAGTTCATCCTCAGGGCTTCGCTTCTCCCCAGGTAGAATCAACGCTGCCCAGAAAGATGTCACCATCCGCGGGGTGGCCCTGCGATGCTGCACCCCCTGCTGCAACCAAGAAGAGGAACTGACCTTGCTTTTGCTGTCCCCATGGCTTTTGTCCATGACAAGATTCACAAACCACACTGAAAACAGTCTGAAGTCAAAACCAACACTGTTTCAGAAAAGAAACCGCTATCCTTCTCCTTGACTCGCTCACCTGTTGTGGCCAGTGGGGTAAGGGCACTTTTACCGCATGGTAAAATTTGAGTTGAGTGGTACTAACAGACAAGACCTAACTTGTTGCAACAGCTCTGCTCACTGACAGCTCTCAGAGATGCTGCTGATGTGCGTCCGATCCCTGCCCTTCAGGTCTGAAATTCCATAGGGCAGCAGTTTATTAGCGGTGCTCAGGAGCGGCTGGGCACAGCACCAGCGAGCTCTCGCCGGGGCTAGACACATCACGCAGGGAGAGCAGATGAGCTTGTTCAGCATCAGCTCCTGTTGCATTTTGAAAATGCAAAGAGGAGAACAATGCAAATGCAAACAGCTGAAACTGGAATGATCAAAACCAGTGACAGAGGAGAAGGAGGAGTGCTGGAGTGAACCAGGCTGGCCTCGGCTGTCAGACACCGTCCTGCTGAGATGCTGCAGTCTGCACCACACCGCGTGCACAGATTCCTGCCGTTCACCTTGAGCATCCACCCCAAAATCAGAGCTACTATTTTATCCACAGTGAAAATATTATGGAATATGATCTACCAGAACAAGCTGCCTTCTACTCTCATCATAACCATTGCAGTTTGATGCCCTATGTGAACTAAAACTACAAAGTTTCTTAAATGTACAACTGTAGGTGGTGGGTGATGCTGCCACTTGCTCCCTGTGTTTCTGTGGCCAAGACCACTGGTGCCACTCCAGCGAGCAGCAAACAGCCACATGCTCTCGCTGTACCTCGCTCTTCAGCCACTTGTCTAAGGGTTGCTCAATCTGCACTGCACAAGCCCACAACGTTAGAGGGTCCCACTGAAGCAGTGTCCATGGGAGGCCCCTCGCCGGCCCTCGGGAACTCGGAGGGCAGCTACAAGAAAGACACGTAAAGAAAAAGATGTTTGCATTGCAGGAGAAGAGGAGAGAGGAGAGCAGCGCCAACCTTCCAGTACCGACAAGGAGGGGTGAAATACTCCTTAGTGTGGGCACAGTGACAGCGCTGGGCTATCACCCAGCAATCCAGAGTGATAAGCAGGAAACCAGCCCAACCCAGCCACTCCCTACTTGTACTAGAAAGGCTTTTGTCCTCTTTGCCCAAAAGTCATGCTTTCGGGAACAGCGATCTCAGGCTTTAGATAAACTCCTTCTGCAGAAGGTAGGGAAGTGTTCAAGTAAGAAAGAGACGACCTTCATTTTGCTCAGGGAAATACTGCCCACCTTTGCTGCACCTACCGCCCCCGGGCCACCAGCAGTGCTGGTGAGGGGAGCAAGGAGCTAAGCAGGCTCATCTCCACCCCAAACACCCTGGTGTCCAGCAGAAACCAAGCCAGAAACACTTTCCTGGCTGAGAACTGACATTTAATATCTGCATTTTGGAAGGGTAACAGAGCATGAAGCCTGCTGACTGGCAGGTGCATGTAGCATCTGTAGCAGAAATAAAGGCAAAGCTGCTGGGACACGAAGCAAAATTGGAAGAGGTCAGTGGCATACCAAAGAATAAGCAAAAATCTGATTGTCTGGGTCAGGAGGGTTACACTTTTCCAGGTTATGACATGAACCAAGGCTGAGCAGGGTCTGAAGCTGTCCTGGGGAAGAAGAACTCACTGCATGACCCAGCAGCACCATAAGCTACGCGCCAGTGCCACAGTTAAGTTGGAAGAGGTTACTTGAGCTTCTTGGTCAACTTAAGCTACCTGAGAGCAGAATTCAGGCCCTGCTCTAAATCGCATTTTAAGCTTCTCAAGCAGGTTTCCGATTTAAGGTTTGCATTTTAATAACAGCCAGAGGCAGGCTGTCGAATGCACCAATACACAACACATTAGAAAAACCCCGCAGAAAAGCACAACAAATATTCTGCTGCCCCATAAACAAGCCAGAGGAACACTCCCCACAGCACAACGCACAACGCTCTGGGTTTGCGGTGGACATATGGCTGGCGCCGGGCTCCTATCTGGGCCAAGCGGCCACGCTACGTATGCCAGGTTGTGTTACATAAGTGCATCCATCTCTGCTGCAGCTGTGTCACCGACGGAGCCGATCGGTGCAGACTCACGGCTGGCTCCAGCGCGGGCAGAGGTGGGGGGGCTGCAGAAGGCAGCTGGGTTTTAAGCAAACAGCCCCGGGGTAGGACTGTCCCCTCGGTGTTTGTTATCCCCGCGTGTACTATTCTGCAGATATGCACAGGATGAATTTTCCCCGCAGGGCACGGGCTGGTTGCATAACTCAGCAGCATCGTGTCAGCACAGAGCCGATCGCAACGGCGGCAGCAAACCCCGACCCGACCCTCCGCCACGCAGCAGAGCTGCTCCCAACAGCCGGAGCAGACCCACGCCTCGCCCTGGGGCACAGGGTGGGGTGCCCTGCTCTTGCCCCGGGACTTCATCACACCCATCTTAAGGGCGCACATTTCTGCAGATTCCCTCCCCCACCCTAATCCTCAGCCCACACTTGCACTGGGACCAGTACCGAGCCCCAGCCCCAGGCGGAAGCAGTCACATCAATTACTTGTGCTGGAGATCTCAATATTTAAATATTAAATAAATATTGTGTGCCGGGGCGCGGAGGGGGTGTAGACAAGCCAGCAGTGACAGAACTGGACCTACCCAATGGGCCTTTCCGTTTCTATATTCCTATTTCTCTGCAAACAGCACAAAGCTTACCTGGGCACACACATCGCTTTACGTAAGGCTCAGGAACCCTCAGGTGGGCAGCAATGAGGTTTTTTAGCAAAACCTGCCAAAATGCCCCCACTTTCCCCACCGCCCTGCTGCTGGAGGCTCGCTCACGGGAGCGGGCCAGGCACACAGCCGTCGGCTGCAAGGCTGAAGGCCGGGTGTTTGCTGGCTAGGGCAGCCATTTCGTCCCTCTCTGCTCTCTTGTATCTGTGGTCTGCTCTGGTCCAGCAGGATCTGTGTGGTTTCAGGGTGAGGTAGGTGCTGGGAGCCCAAGCTGCAATGCCAGCACAGGACACAGGCAGGCTTTCAGAGGTCTCCTGTGACCAGCAACGGTCAGGCAGCTCTGCAGGAGCTTGAGAAAGAACCTGGGCTGGGAAGACATCCGCCTCACCCCGTGTAATCTGTAATTTCTCAGTTTCATTGAAGTGTTTTGGCCAGGAGAATCCCTAGTAACAGCTCCTGTTTACAGACAGCTTTGCCATGCAGGCAACACCTCCCAGTCCTTCAACACCTCCCAGTCCTTCAGTGTCACTGGTTAATGACACTGCCACTTACCCCCACATCCCTGGGGGTCCTTCCAGAGCATGTGTGACCACCCAGGCCCCAGGACTGGGACCTCTGAGCTTGGGACTATTTAGGAACCAAGCTGCGGGGAGAAGGGAGGGGACTCCTCTTGAACGGAGCTGAGCTCAGCCTGAGCACAACTGTTTTGTAAGCTTCCTTCCCAAGCAGACGCAGATCTACCAACCCAGACACTGGACACCAAAGCATCCGACTGGGTTTGGGCAACTGCAGTCCACACCAAAGGGAAGTCCTGCCTTTAGCAAGGAAACAAAATGAGACAGACCCACGCGCCTCGTGGCTGAAAGCAAAGGAAACAGCTCTGTGCTGAGATGGACCTGCCACTCCACTCGGTGCCAGCTCACTGAGCCAGCCGAGCCCTGAGGCATCCTGTCTGGGTCTCAGAGGGGAAGGGGACTGTGCTAGACAGCGAGGGGCTCCCAGCGCTGACCATGGAAATTATACCACGTAGCAGAGAAGGCAGAACTGGCAGCTCCTTCCCTGCCCCTGGGAGAGACGGACATGCCCAAAGCTGATGTCAGAGGGTGCTCGCAGGTCTCTGCCGTGCACCAGCCTGTCTCAGCCACCGGCCAGGACATCCGAGGAGCAGGGCTCCTGCCCAGCCCTGCCAGCTCCACTGGGCCTTTGGGCAGCAGCGGGACGTGCAGCTAATTCTGTTTCCCACCTCTACTTTATTTTTGCTGTAGAATAGGTGGAAAAAAAACTCAGAAGCAGTGCTTTGATGAGTCACTATAGAAATAGCTCCGGGAACATAAAAGACTCCTTTGTGTCACTACAAAGTGCATTATTGGGCTGGTACAGCAGACAGAATAATACAAAAACTGCGGATCACTTACCCAGCTGCAAAGCACAGCAGTGCCCTGCCCTGAATTTAAGCAGCACATGTAACCTGGTCCATTCTGGTTTCAAGCTCAAAGGCATCAGGTCGATCCTGCGGGTTAGCAGCCAACATGTCTTTCAAGAGCTGCTTGATCCCTTCAGACATCAAAGTCCTGCGTTTCTGAGGGATGTGCAGCTCCATCTTTGGGTTTTCTAGCAGCGCTTCCCCAACGGGCACAATCTCGGTCCCCTGCTTGATGTAGGTCCCCAGCAGCTCCTTCTTGGTCTCCGCATCAATGAAAGTTATCCTCTCAATCATGGCCCAGATGATGATGCCGAGGGCGAAGATGTCAGCCTTGGCAGTGTAGTGTCCCTCCCAGACCTCGGGCGCCATGTAGAAATCGGAGCCGCAAGCCGAAGACAGCCAGTACTTGTTCACATTCACATTTTTGTTCTCATGCCCACCCTCCTTGCCCCGAGCAGTCAGGCCAGCGCAGACCTTACTCAGCCCGAAGTCGGCCACCTTGAGAACAGGGGTGCCAGACTTCTCGGTTATCAGGATGTTGTCTGGTTTCAGGTCCCGGTGGACAATATGGTTCTTGTGCAGGAAGGCAATGGCGCTGGTCAGCTGCAGCATGAAGCTCTTGTTTGTCGCTGGGTCGGGTCTTCGTGAGAGCACATACTGGTTGAGGTCTCCCCCTTCGCAGAACTCCATGACGAACCACAGGTAGCAAGGCTCCTCCGCATAGCCCAGGATCCTCTCGCCTAACCGAAAGGGACAAAAGCAAGAGTGGGTTTTTCAGACACATTACAAAACGTCCACACTAACTCAGCGCGGGCAAGGGACGGGTCTGGTTTATGTGGAGAGTTAAGGCCTTCGGAATGTGACCGGGTCCTATCGCACTGCAAGGTACCAGCAGTGATGCTGGCACTGCTGTGGCTTCAAGTGCTTTAGGATCCTGTTGAGTGCCACACACCAGCACCACGTTTATCCGAGCCCATTGCCTGGGAGCCAGCTCAGGCAAAGCGCAGGCATGCGAGTGAGACCGAGCACGTGTCTTCTCAGGTGCTTGCAGGGAACTTGGAAGCGGAGGGTTATTTTCCTGTGCTACCATCAGGCAATTCTCCCCGGGCTCTGACAGCCAAAGCAGCAGAGACTAAAAGCTCAATTAGCAGCGAGTCTATGGGAAAAAAATCAGTTCTTTGTGAACGCCAGCTCTCCCACCTGAGCTCTGCTGCAGGAGGCAAAGGCTGGCTTATACCTCACACTTTACTAGTATAACTGCAAGTGGGGAGTAAATCACACCCCTTAATGCTGTGCCAGTACAGCCTCACTAAGAGCAGTCACACCAGTGTCAAAGCCTTGCAGCACGCTGGCTCTTCTCAGGCTAAATTTGTGCGTTTAAGCATTGTGTTTGTGCTAGGGGAGCTCTGCCACTTCATTCAGCTTTCATTAAGTGCCAACAAGTCTTTAAAGAGAGGAAACTGGAGGCCCAAGTAGCAAACAATGTTTAAGTGCAATCTCAGCCACACTTACGAATATAATCTTGCCTCACTCGTTAGTGCTGCTACTCAATATTATGTCCCAAACAGCTTCTTCCTTCACCAGACATCTCGCTGAGCTCAGAGAGTCTCAGGTCCAATTCATTGCATCTAGGTTTTACTCCACAACCCCTTCACCAAGGCAAACCACTTTCTTGCACATAAACTAGAGAAATGCAACAGCATCATATTGGCTAATGGGGTAAGGTCTGCTGCCAGCCCCATTAGCTGATGCCAGGATGCAAATCCCGCTGCCAGACCCCACATCACCTGCACAGAGCACCCAGGTGACAGGCAGAGCCTGCACACACAACCAGGGTATCGTTTTGCTCTAGGAACTAGTTTTTTTCCCCTCAAGCACCGCAAGGGAGAAGCTGGAGGACACCACTCGCCTCTGCCACAGTTAGCAAGTCACACAGACGAAACCCAGTGTTTTGAAAGCAGTTAAATAACTCCACCCATTTGACAAAGTTGGGTTTTGTTTTAGCAAAGCCCTAGAGAGCATCTGGGAAAGCAAACTTCCAGCAGCAGGTAAAGCCCTAAGGACTACCAGCAACACCAAACCCTGGGCTGTCCGGCGCCCGTGCCTGCAATGGTCAGCAATTGGTGTGGGTGGGAATATTGGTTATTTGCACAAACAGTCTGTATCCATGGCTACTGCTATGGAAATGAAAGTCTGCACAACAGAAGGATTTGGCTGCACCTCCCTGCCCTCAGCAGAAGATGAAGGTTAGGTCTGGAGGATGGGGGGGACCGCAAACAGGCTGGAGACATGGGGCACTGGGTGCACTTTGAGAGGCCAAATGAGCCCCCCAAAGTGCAGGAGGGGGACTCAGCATACAAGCCCAAGGGCCAACTGGGAGCAGCACAGGACAGCTTGGCCCTGGAGACCAAACCACCGACGAGGAAAAGCAGCTTCTCCAGTGCAAGTCACCCTTTGGTGAGACTAGCATGACAGCATGGAAACTGAAGCAGAGGCCGCTCGTCCCAGCAGTGGAGACCTTTGCACAGCCAGGACAGCCCCAGCTCACACTGTTGCTCACACCTTGGATTTGCTAAACCCCAGTGACATCCCAGCAGGGCACAGGGCTTTGCTTTCCTGCTCCCCTCAGCATCCATGTGGCCCCGACATGGGCAGCAGGAGGGTTTGACTCTTCTCAGCCAGGAATTGCACCATGACAGGGAACACGGCAGTGCCCCGTGCCCACACATGGCCAGAAGCACCAAGCCAGGGCACGCAGGTGGGAGGGTGAGAGCATTCACACGGCAGCGCTGCCGACAGCCCCTTCCCACAGGGAATCAGCAGCAAGGACCTGCTGGCTCCAACAAGCCGAGGTTTGTTTTTAGCATAACGAAGGCTCTGATTTAAAACCTGGCCCCTGAACCTCAGCAAGTGTAGGGAGGACGCTGCTGACCCAGCAGTAGCTGCAAGCACCATGCACTTCACTTTGGGTGGAGCACTGCTAGGAGAGGCTTAAGCCAAGAGTAATATTTCCTCATTTTCTTTCTATAATCTGAAAGTGTTTTAGTTGTTAAATCATCTTCCTGCCTTCAAAACAAACAGCTTTAAACATAAAGAGCTGGCAAGCCGCTTCCTAAAGATGAGATGTTAGCAAACTGAAGTCAAGCAGCCAAGAGCTGAAGAGATGGAGATGACAGGCCAGACCTGTTCTCCATCTCGAAGCGAGCATCCCCGCGTGCTCCCTGCCCAAACACAGGACGGCACACACTAACCTCTCCTCCCTATCCTGGGAGCTCATTAACAGCTAATTTGCTTAGCATCATGGGGAAAAATCTAATGACAGCAGAACCAGCATCCCACTGCCGTGTGTAACCCCTGACTCCCTCTGTGCAAAGAGGCTGCGCTGGAAAGATGAGCACCAGCAGCATGAAGCCTGGGTGCTTGGACTGGTGGTAACACGCGTGGGCGATGCCAAGGCAGCCTGCGAGCGCGGTTGAGCACCAGCAGCAAGTCGGTGGCCCTGTGGGTGACATGCTAGGAAGCAACACCCTATACATGTTCACTTAAGGCAGCTCTATCACTGCTATGGGTTAGGAACAACAAGAGGGGCACGTGGCCGTGCACAAGCCCCGAAGACGTGCATGTATCAGGGCACCAAGCACATTGCTCAACCACATGCCTCTCCTCCAGGCTCAGTGACGGGCTTTCAGCTTCCTTTTTGCATTCTGCCCTTAAATTTATTATTCCACATCTCATTAAAACTATGCTGGCTCTGCACTGTAGCTGAGACCCAACATTGCTTGGTATCCCGACAGTTGTGCTCCTGAATCAGAAAGTCTCCGGTTAATCCCCCCGTGCCCTGAGCCCCGGCGCGTTGGCACAGCATCTGTGCAGGCCCGTAAATAGCCCAGCTGCGGTCGTGCAGAATGGCACGGCAGCACAGCTACGTGCCGGCTACCTCGGCCGGAGTGACAGCATGGCGGCTCCACGCAAGCAGCTTGCACGCTGTAGGCAGGGAAGGAGAGCAAGCAGACCTGGGAGGCTCACCTAGCTCTGGCTTTTGTTTTGAAACTATTTATTGGTGCCCAGACCCAAAGCTTGGGAAGGCAGTGAGCACAGCCTCTGCCCCAGCAGATACCACAGCCCGGAGGGCAGTCAGGAGAAAAGCAGATGGAGGGGAGAATGCACTCAGGTTTGGGGAGCAAAACTGCTCCTCTCCGGCCTGGGGATGGAGAGCCCAGCTCGGCTCCTCTCTTCAGAAGGACGCAGCAGGACCGGGGCAGGCAAAGCCCTCCCCATGGCAGGGAAGTTGGGTGGCTCTCTCCCCACCTAGAGATGGGGGGCACCTACAGCTACCCAAGAGCTATCCCCAAGCCATGCCATCTCTTCTCAGGGCATGGCAAGGGGGGCAGGAAACCCCTGTACCTGCCAGGAGGAGCTTGACTTGCTACAGCTGGACGTGCACTTAGCAAAGGGAAGGGTTAGCTCCTTTCCCACGGAGTCGTGCCCCCGAGGGCACGTAAAGGAAGCACCCAGGCTATACGGAAATTAGGACAGGGGGGCAGGGGGTCCCTTGGGTGGTTGTGTGTGGAGTGTGAAGGGAGAGCCAGGCAGGTCCGGACATGTCTCCCTGGGAGTGTGGAGGGGACAGGCACGGCAGGGGCAGTCAGAGCCAGAGGTTTGTTCGGAGGATGGGGCTCGGCAGCCGTGCATGAAGTCTGTGCCTGGCACAGGGTTTGGAGGCTGCCTGCACGGGGGGGGCTCAGCTGGGGGAGGCATGGAGAGACTGGGCTCCCCAAGGAGCGCATGGGAGTCCTGGCACACAAGTTTGGGGGAAGGGGGGTTGGGGTGAGCTGGCTCTGGCTTCGACAGGCTGGGGGACGCGGGGGCATCAAGGATACAGGGCCCCAGTATTTTTCCACATCTTCACTGCACGTTGGCAGAGCTGGGTCTGACAAGCAGCCAAGGGAGCAGAGGGAGGGTGGGGGCATTTCGGAGATGTCACCATCACAGTCATCGTCTGTGGCAGGAGAAGGTGACCCCTGACAGCCCCGTGATGCTGCTGAGGGACCCCAGGGGAAGATGGGGGTGTCAGCATTGGTGCTTCCAGGGCTGTCCCCATAGAGCCAGCACTTGGGAGGGGACCAGGGACAGGAGACCACAAAGAACAGTCCCAAAGCTCAAGGGAGCAGGCAGGGCACCATAACGGGCTGCAGCCTT